TGGCACACTTTTTCTTCAAGTCTGGGTCTCTGCATTTTGAGAGCTGTGTTATTTGATTTTAAGATATTGTAATTATTACCACAAAGGCAATCTCAGTATTTTTCTAAGAAATACAATTAGTTAATGTTCCTGGAGATACTGATTAATGTCCAGATGCCGTTCCCAAGATTAGAGAGTATCTGTATAATGCAAAGTGTTATAGCAATGAAGTAAATGTAGGAACAGTAATGTCTTCTTTCCTAAGCCATGGCAGGTTCTCCATCTGCCACCTCCTCCTCCTCATCTTTGATATGAGTAATTACACAATCACAGATAATATTGAGGGAACTTTTGCATTGGTCTTTAAATAACAAGCTTAATCTCTCCACTTTTGAGCATAATTATTGATCTCATTTCCTTTTTCTCCTTCAAGACAGGGTTTCTCTGTGTAACACCCTTGGCTGTCTTAGAACTCACTTTGTAGACCAGGCTGGCCTTGAACTCCCAGAGATCTGCCTGCCTCTGCCTCCCAAGTGCTACGTTAAAGGCCTGTACCACCATGCCTGGCTGTTGATCAGTCCACACCACAGAAAAGACAACCCAGCCAGCTGTTCACTGCTGTGTAGAGAAAGGCCCCCCCCTTTTTTTTGGTTTTGTTTGTTTGTTTGTTTTAAGTCCAAATCTTGAGTTTTACAAATGCAGAAAAGTTCTGACTTTCCTCTTTCCAGAATTGGTTCCAAGAACAATGAGAGTGCTGTCTGAAGGAGCTTACATCCCAATGCAAGTGTCCTAGATGTGGAGATAGTTTTCTCTAGCTGACTTGAGTGATCTTCCAGGAGACCCAGAGGTTGGATCTCACTACAAGAGGGACAGGACCAGGTGGTTGCATATGAACTAGACTTTTAGAGGGAGTACTGAGGTGGACAAGCCAAGGTAGTTCCAGACACTTCCGTTAGAGAAAACAAGTGAGAGAATGGACATGCTTGCTACCGCAACAGGATGCAGAAACTGCATAAAAAACATCCACTTAACACTCCTGGTCCATGCAGACTACCAGAGCGCTGCTGTAGAAGAGGATGCAGCCTGAGGGAATCCTCCTCCTCAGGCTCTCTGTCATTGTCCTTGCTCTTGGCTGTCTTCTCATGAGGGCATCGTATTGCCCCTGCTTTCATGTTTAGAATATAATGGGCGCCAGCCTGCCAGATTCATTCTGGGTTCAGTTTATGGTAGCCCTACAGACACTCTATTAACCTTGGCTTGCATGTCCCACGTGTGGCCTCAGCCAATTTCCACCATCAGTAAAGCCCTTTTCATGACTTTTTAGTCTAATGGTGGGCACAGAGACAGAGAGACAAACCCACACAGTTCAAGTTCCTGAATTTATATCAGATGGACATGAAGGGGACAAAGTTGATTACATTGAGAAATACTGAATTCACCAAGTATTCGTTGATTGAAGTGTGTTTAGCTTTGTGTTAGCATCCGAGGTTGTTGGAGTTTTCCCAGCTCTGAAGTCATGCTCTCTGCTTAACTAAAGGGCCTCTTTCTCTGAAGTAAAATTGACCTGTGCCCCAAAGGGGAGGCGCTCAATGCCACTTAGCTGTTCTGAGATTGGTGAAATAAGGACGAACGGGAAACATTGATGTGCTTCTTAGTGACTCATGTGATGATTATTTCATTGTTTGAAGGTCTGGATGTTGTGTAATCAACGACTATCCCTTCTCTGAGCCTTTTATGTTTTTATTCCAAAATCTGGGATTTTCCATCATTTTGTCAATCTTCCTGGAGGCACACTCTGGCTATTCAAATACTCCCTGGGACTGGTAGGGCCTGGGAGAGTAGCTATGTCTACCTTTTTCTTCTTAGGAGGGCGGGGACACTGGGTTGCTCTCTGGTAGCATGGCTGAAAGCTGTCCTCAGTCATGCAGTGTTGCCTCTGTTCATTTTGTCTTTCAGAGGCAACATATTGACCTCCTTTTCTTGAAGGTCATACATTCAGAGTCTTCCTTCCTTCCTTCCTTCCTTCCTTCCTTCTGAGGAACTTCTCCAACAAGCCAGCGAAGGAACTCGATCATGTTACCCCAGTTTCTGCATGTTTGTACACTGATAGCTCAGGCTTCTGAAGCTCCTGGCAATGCAGGTACTCACCACATAAGTCACAGAAAAGCTCGGAGGGTTTAGCTTTGGGGAGAAATAGCCTCAAGATGCATTTAGAAGATGCTTTGTGTTGCCTCTGTGCCTGTGCTCAGATCAGGACCAGGGCCTACAGGTGCGGGAGGGTAAAACTGTATGGGTCTGGCAAATGGTGACACTGGCAGGTCTGCAGGATTTGATACCTCACTGTGCTTTCCCTCTTACAGAGGTCATAATTGGGACTTCCTGGATCTACCTCAGGCTTGCCTGCCTATCTTATCAGCATGGCTGCTTTCCTAGACAAAGCCACTGTCATCTCTCAGCAGAACCAATACTCCCACTCTTTCACAAGCCCCCTTGCATCCATTCGTGTGCACCTAAACCACTCTTTACAAACCAACAGTGCTGCGAGTTCCTCTGGTTAAACTTCAGCAGCTTTGGGTTTTCCATAGGATAAAGTGGCATGTTCTTTAACATGGTCTCTACTTACCTCTTCAACTTCATGTCAAACAGCTGCCCGCCTGATCGCTCTGACTCAATAATCGTTCATCTTTTTTTTCTTCTTCTAGTGTTACAAGTTTTATTTCTCCTTCTTTTTCTGTAATTTTAAAAATGAAGTTTGTTCTTTGAAAATTGTGTACGTGTGTATTTTGATTGCTCCCCTCTTATCTCCTTACCATTCCTGTAAATCCTCCCCACAGCCGCTTTCCTAGATAGGACTTTTACTTTTGTTTTGTGACTCAGTTAGTTTAACCAGCGCCATCTGTGTGACCTTTGGTTTGGAACTGTTCATTGGAGCCTGGCCGCCACCCATTGGTGGGGTCACCACTGGGTACACAACTAAAACAGCGACTCCTTATCTGCCTGAATCTGTCAATTAGCAAATAGTTCACGGTGAAGGGTAGGGCTCCCTAGGCCTCTCTCTCATCCATGCTGGGCTGTGGAGGAACTTACTCTTGTGAAGACCCAGTGCAGGCATGCACAGCTGCTGTGTGTTTGAGATTACAATGACTGTGCCTTCCTCAGAAGATGATATTTTATAACCCTTCTGTGTGTCATATAGATCTTACATTATTTCTGTCTCCTCTCCTACTTTGCTCCCTATACCTTAGAGGGGATGGGATACATGTCTTGTTTAGGGCTGAGCATTTATCTGTCACTTATTCTCAGCACCTCATGTAGCTGTGAGTTTCTTCATTTACTACCATTTACTCAGAACAGGCTTCTCTGATTAAGGATGGGAGTAGCATTTGTTGATGAGTATAAGCATAAATATTTAGAGGGCAGTTTATGTTATGCCAGTTTAGCTAAACAACGGTATTCACTTTTCACCCTGTGTAGCCTAAGACCTCCCATCCGTGAGTTTTTGATAGGGCTTACTGTATCAGGCATGGATTCTGCCCTGTGGAGAGGGCCTCAAAGCCCGAGAACAGTTGGTTACCCCATAGCAATAGTGCCACTGGTGCACAAGCGAGCACATCTTGATCGTGTAGTTTGTAGAGTTCCCAGTTGTGTAAGGCAATGGCTGCCTTTTCTCCAGCAGTCTCCATAGCACGTTTTAGGATGACGAGGACTAGATGGAGGAGAGAAAGCTTCTAGCTCAGTCTTAGCTTGATTTTTCTATATCACTCAACCGAGGTGTGTCTCTACTGCCCTGTCTCTACTCCTGTTTAGTATAGGACTCAGTCTTGTTAGAGCATAAAAATGGAAACAAAAAGGATACACATAGGAAAAGAAGTCAAAGTGCCCCTGTTTGTAGGTGGCATGGGTACTGTACATAAACAGAAAATGCCTAGCCAATTAGCTTTCAGTAAAGTGGCAGGATACAAAATGAACATACAAAAAATAATAAAATCAGTAGTCTTTCTATACACCAGCGACAGAAGCACAGAGGAGGAAATCAGGGAAATAATCCCATTCACAGAAGCCTAATAAAAATACCTTGGTGTAAACCTAACCAAGGAGGTGAAAGAACCTCTACTTTCATCTTCTTGTTACTTCTTATCTCATGACCTTCCTTTATGCTATGCCTAAGACTGAGCTGCTTAAGCTTAGTGCTCAGCACTGGGCTTTGTGTTGAAAAGCAGACACATAGGCTCTGATCCAGTAGGCCTTCAGGGGAACTGAAAATTTGTATCCCATCATTTCCAGGCAAGGCTGGTATGCTTGCCTGGGGTACCACACTCCGAGAACAGCTAAGCTAGAGTGTGTTTTTCTTCCTTAGTTTCGGAGAGTCCCTCAGCTCTCACATTAGCCATCTCTCTGCCCATGGCAAGTTTCTCCTGATCCTCTGGAGTTGCTGCAGTTCCGGTTCTAGGCTAGTGTGCATCTTCTCCAATGAAGCCCATGTTGACACTGTATTTAAGCATTTGTGCCTATAGGGTTTTCTTAACTGAATCCACTGCAAGAACCTGTCTTGGGCAGTGCTCTTTCTATGGTCCCTGCTGTTTTTTGTTCTGTGCTATTCCTGTCCCTTGCATATTTCAAGCACAAAGTAATTCTTAGTTGAATGAATAATATTGTTTCTTCTTTTTATAGGTAACTGAAAATATGTAGTAGCAAAAATGGTTTCATTGAATAAGAAGGACAAATGGGGGCCATGGATGGTAGAGATCAGAAGAAAGAATAAACATATTTTGTTCACCAGGGTCCAGAGCATTGTAAGCAAGACACAGGGTTTTGTTTTTTTTGTTTTTTTTTTTTTTTTTTTTTTTTCAAAGGGGCCTAGCATATTGTGGAAAACCCCTTCAATTTTACCTGCTGTGATGAGGACGTTAACACAGTTCTTTCTCAGCCTCTGGCTCATTCACACCCTCGCATTCTTTGTGAGTAGTTAATTACCTGTGTGGTTTTTGTGTTTCATATGCTGCTTTTGTTTTTCCTTACAGATATGGAATGTGCAGATGTCCCTCTGTTAACTCCGAGTAGCAAAGAAATGATGTCCCAAGCACTGAAAGCTACTTTCAGTGGCTTCACAAAAGAGCAGCAGCGACTGGGAATCCCCAAAGGTATCCTTTTTACAGTAGGATAAGGGGTCACTCAGGCCAGAGTGTTAGGGAAGGCTCTTGCTCTCCCCCAGCTAGGCTGGTTTCGAGTAGCAGCACTGGAATCAGCAGTGGCTATCGCAGACATCCGTGAGATACAGGGGCTGAGGATCCACCCTTTCCCAGCTTGTCATCACCATCTTGGTCTTAGGACAGTGTTTCTCGACCTGTCTGTACACCAGACTCTCTGGACCTCTGAGAACTTCCAGCTAGGCCCCAGCCTAGACCAGTGCAATCTTAACAGGTGCTAGATATCTCTAATTTGTAAGCTCCTCAAACAAGTCCAAAAGTTGCAGACAGGTTTGGAAGCATTTGTTGTAGGGTCAGTCTGGGCTACTGTGGATAAATCCTGGGGGCTGAAGTTTATGCTCTGTTTGCTTCCATGTACTTTGGCAGGTGTGCTCGCCCTTTGGGTTTATGGAGAACGGAAAGGGTCTGGAGCTGTAAGAAAGAAGTGAGCTAAGAATTATCAGCTTCACCTAGGAACATTGATTAGACAGTCAAGAGCAGGAAGGCTTTTGTTGTTGTAGTTAAGATAGTTGAAGGAAGGCTGTCTGTATAAATCATGCCTCTTCCTCTGCTGGATAAGAGATTTCCAGCATGGCCAGACTGGGGCTTTGGTTTAGATTTTTGGAGTATATATGTATATTTTTTTCTTCTGTTTCCAATTTTACCCTAAACCTGGGTGGAAAACAATCCCAAACATTCTATGAGGCCCAGAAGGCAGAGCAAAATAACCTCTGAGCCATGGGTATCTTAGCATCTCATGAAGTTAGCTTTTGGATTCAAGCATCAGTCGAGGCCACGGCAGCCCATTGTCATTTGAGCCCCTTTAGTGATATTGACAGATATAGCTCTGTCAATCCCTAAGTATTATATGCAGTTTATATGTCATCACTACTATTCAAAGTAGGGCCTGTGGCAGGTGCAGACATTGCAGGGCATATGTCTAGTGTAGTCACTAATAATGACACTTGAGTGACGTGCTATTATTGGTTGTGGTGATTATTGTAAAATAATAAGTTGCTAAGATAAAAATAATCCAGTATAAAAGCCTCCAGTGTATTGAAGAGTTGAGAGTGCCATTTGTGGGAAACCTTTTACATTGCGACTACTGCTTTTCAAGAAGGCACGTTCTCTTATCTGGGGCTTTTAAATTTTTTAATGGAAATAAGGGTGAGAGAGGAGATGGATGGGAATCTTGGTCTGAATGAAAGCAGGAAACTATTGTTGACTGACCATAGCTCCTCCTACCTGGCAAAACAGGGGAGGTGGGATTGAGTGTGGGGAGAAGCATGGGAAAGTATCACAGGATGCTGGTCCCTAGGTCTGAGGGTAACTGGAATCCTCAGCCTTGTTTGGTCCCTTCACTGTCTGCTCCCCAGCCTGACCTACCCCGTCCTCATTTGGTCTCTCTTCTCAGACCCCCGACAGTGGACAGAAACCCATGTTCGGGATTGGGTGATGTGGGCTGTGAATGAGTTCAGCCTGAAAGGCGTGGACTTCCAGAAGTTCTGTATGAATGGAGCGGCATTGTGTGCCCTGGGTAAAGAATGCTTCCTCGAGCTGGCTCCAGACTTTGTTGGGGACATCCTGTGGGAGCACCTAGAGATCCTGCAGAAAGGTAAATGTTTGACCACAGGGAGGAGGAGGTTGTGTGATGCTTCTCCAAGAGTAAGGGAAAAACTCGCCCAATAGCAGGATGCTCATGCCGTTGTCTGTGGGTGCTCAGCCCTGGCATGGATGGTCGGTGGGGATGTCTTTGGTACAGAGCCTAACATAGTACAAAAGATCAATACTTGCTGGTTTATTTTTGTGTGTGTGTGCATTAGGAGTTAATGTTTTAATTTTTAGCAAGATTGAACTTCTTTAGTTTCTTGTATGCAAAAATACGATCCAAGTTATTTTTCAACAAATAGTTCCCAAACCAAAAACTTATATTTAAAAAATATGGGTTTTTTTCATCAATAACTTTAATATATCCTCCCTTGATCTATGATGTATACTCCTGGTACAGGAGAGCACAGCTTCTCCAGTCTTCTTAGCAAGACAGATTTCTTTGTCACTCACTGACTTGGGATTATGGTAGTATGGAATACCTTTTACATTTGGAGCCAAAGCTGGGGTTATATTAGGACACGGTGTTGCAACCTTGTAATGACACAGCCTCCTCTACCGGCCTCTTCTAACCTTTTTGGACCAAGTGACTCATGTCCCGTAGCTCTGGCTGAGTATAGAAACAGCAGCAGGCGGCAAACTTGGGTGTTTCTGCGCTTATTTTTCTGAATTTCTTCTTAAAATAAATTATAGTTACCAGCAGTCAGCAGTGCCCGGGAGCTGACTGTAAGCCTAGAAGCCTGCTACCCTCTGTAACCAGGCCCACCCTTTCCCTGTGGTCACCAGGCCCCAGCTGTAGGCACAGCCACTGGGGTCAGGGCATCCAGCTCTTTCCTTATAATACCTTCCTTTGTTTAAGAGTATGGCCTTCTCTCAGGACGGAGGAGAGACCCAGTCCCAGTCCTCTGGACACAGAGTGTGATGGGCACTCCTTTTCCGTAGCTTCTTGTTGAAGATGATCAGCCCATGAACACAGTCAAGGACTTGATGCCTCCTCCCTGGGACAGCAGCCTTAGTGTGCACTGGTGCTGACCCCTAGGCACTGACACGAGTGACCTGCTCATAAGAGGAAAAGAAAGCTTGTGGCAGACTCCTCACAGAGCTGGTTTAACTGCTGGCTCTGGAACACAACAGCAGGTTGCACCAGACCATGAAACCAAACATAGTCTGTGAATACAGTGCTTCTCGGAATGCGAATGAGCGCCTGAAGGAGATGTCCCAGCTCCCTCAGCTTTGGGTGGGCTCAGTCCACCCCTGATCCTGACATATTCATATCCTTGATTCCAAAGTGTGGCAAAATAGATTTTTCTCATGGAATCGTCCCCAGTTAGTGACCAGCACTTTAAACTCTACTCACTTCTAAATCTTTTTAGGTTTCACTTCCCATCCTGTGGTCTTGCTGTGATACTGTGGGCTGGTAGGAAATTTCCGTCTCTGAGACAGGGTTGGACTGTAGACTCTGTTTACGCTGCGCAGGACTGTCAGGGAATTGAAGTGAAGTAGGGATGTAACTCAGTACGTTTGAGAAGGCAAGTCCTGTCATCCCAGCCGGTATCCTGAGGCAGTAAAACTGTCTTTCTATGGGTCCATAGAGCTGAGGAGCTGGTCAGAATGTTTGTGCTCAGGACAGCACAGCAGCCAGCGAGCATAGGGGCTTGGGGCGGAGCTGAAGGCCAAAGGTGCAGGGGATGTTTCAATCTGATAAGCTGCTCAGGCAGAGTTTAATCATTTTATCTCAACTGGGAACTTTTTTTGTTTTTTGAGTACAGGCATAAACTTGTTTTCCCATCAGCCTTTGCTCTTAGCAAGCTAGCAGATACCTGAGGAAAACCCCGTATCAGTTGTCTGCCTTTACGATTGTTTTATTTTGGGCAGTGAAATACTGCCAGGTTCTGTAAAGTGTCAATAGCTATTGCATTTGATTCTAGAGTAGTCAGGGGACCCTGAGCCCACCATGACAGTTCTCCACTGTGCCTTTTCTCCGTTCCTCTCTGTGTCCCAAGGAAGTTGGTGTTAAGTTGCTTCTCTTACTTTACGTAAGTCTCCGTGGTTCACTGAGTGGAGTCGCCTTACCAGTGTCCTGCTTCTTGTCTGGGCTTGAATTTAAATTCCAAGAACAATGAGAAAAGCACAGGAAAAAAATTTTTCAGACATCTGCAAAAACTGGAGGATACAAAAATCTACTTGCCCAGAGACTGAATGCGTTTCTGAAGTGGTTTTTAATTTATCTGTTTGAGTGTTAAGCACTGATCAGGGTCCTTGAGACATCCCCAGACGAGCCTGAAGATGCAGTTGTCAGAACAGGAACACAAAAACATCACAAATTTTTCCAACCCTTAGACATTATCCACTGGATCTCCTTCCAAGACTGTAAATCTCATTTCATAGGCCCTGAAATGATAAACTCAGCCATACTTTTGTGATCCTATCCTGAGACAAGACCCCAGTCAGGCAACTAAGACACCAACTTCTTTAATATGCTTGAAGGTTTCTTTCTTTCTTTCTTTCTTTCTTTCTTTCTTTCTAGAAAAAGTTTGAGGTCATCGAGGTCCTTGTGTGTCTAAGACCCTCATGGACCAAGTGTTACTTGCATATTATCTTTATTTTATTTCCTGATGTGTTTCTTACAGAGGACGTGAAACCCTATCAGGTTAATGGAGTCAACCCTACCTATCCAGAATCTCGTTATACCTCGGATTACTTCATTAGTAAGTGCTGTCTCCCACTCTCCTCTCGCCTCTGTCTCTTGGCTCTTTATGGGAGGGAACTTGGAAAGGCCCCTGTTTTAGTCAGTCTCAGGTGCTTTAATCATAACTCTATAGAAAGTAATATTTTCTTAATTATGTTCTGCTTTTGGCTGTTTATTTTATGACTTTCACTGAGTCCCAGGATTCAGCTTGTATGCATGTCGATCAGTCTACAAAGTCCCTGCAATGGGAAAGGGCTGCACCCTGGTTAGATTTTGATCTTATTTAGTCTCATGTGTGATAGTGGCCTGGAAGAGGGCTGGGTCAGGCATTAGATTTTTGTCCCAAATGCTTTCCATGTCTATTATTGAGGATGGCAGCGTTTTATATGGAATCCCTCTGGAAGAATGGCCCATATAGCATCACATTCTAGTACAGAAAGTAAGCCTTCTCCTTTTTAATGTAAGATACCTTAGAACACCATAGAGGTGGCCAGAGAAAAAGAATACCATTGGATTTCTCTGATGGCTCTGCCATCAAAGGCCGTGTTAAACAGGTGTGATGTCGCTTTTATCTTTTTAATTATTCCAGTGACAACACTTACACTCACTAGCCATCAAGAGTGTCCCAAATGTTGCACACATTGTGCACACAGAGTCTAATTTACTCTTACTCATCACAGTGCTCCCAGGAAGACTTAATCAACCTTATTTTACAGACAAGTAAATTAAGTCCCAAAAGGCAGGTATCTTATCAAGGGCTGCAGATAGCAAGTTGTGGATCAAGGCCGAAACCAAGCCCTTCTGATTTCCTCTCCTTTTATTCTTCAAGGGAGTCCACTCATATCACATGGTGGGGCTTTGATATGTAGTAAGGATTGCTTCCTTTAGGTATCTGTCTCTCCAATTGTACACAATCTCCTTTTCTAGGCTATGGTATCGAGCATGCTCAGTGTGTTCCTCCCTCGGAGTTCTCAGAGCCCAGCTTCATCACAGAGTCCTATCAGACGCTGCATCCCATCAGCTCAGAGGAACTCCTGTCCCTCAAGTATGAGAACGACTACCCATCTGTCATCCTCCGGGACCCTCTCCAGACGGACACCTTGCAGACAGACTACTTTGCCATCAAGCAAGAAGTGTTGACTCCAGACAACATGTGCATGGGGAGGGCTAGTCGTGGTAGGTCAAATTTACTTTCAAATTCCTTGGGTACTAGAATGACCTTTATGAGTTTTTCAGGCCCTATTTTACTCACTTATCATCAGCCTGGTATTCATCAGGCTCAGCCTTTCTGTTTTTGAGTGTGTTCGGCAATAAGACCTTTTACCGCGGGATTTTAGCCTTATACAACATGGTGGCCGTAGTCGGACTTTCTTTTCTGCCACTAGTCCCAAATAACAACACGAGACTTAGAATTAATTAAGAAAGCTCGGCCTTAGCATAGGCTTGTCTCACTAGCTCTTATAACTTAAATTAACTCATTTACATTAATCTACATTTTGCCCGGTGGCCTTTTATTACCTGTGTCTCATTTTGTGTATCTGACCCCCTCTGCGTCTCATTGGCATTTTCCTCAAGCACCTAGAATCATCCTGGGTTCCTCTCTTTTTCCCAGAAGTCCCACCTATCTCCTGCCTAGCTATTGGTCACTCAGCTTTTTATTTCACCAATCACAGCAACACACCTTCACACTGTGTACAAATATCTCACAACAGATGGCAAAGAGCGTGGGGTTCATGCTGGAACTAAGTATGGCAGAATAATAAATAATAAATGTGTTATTAGGGTAAAATGGTTTTGCCTATGTAATACTTCTAGTTGAATTTTGTAAAGGAAACTGCAGTTTCATTAAGAGACTTTTGTTTGAGAGCATAATCTTCTTGAAGTTTGATGTGTGCCTTGGTGTTCCTCGTCGGGTACACCTGGGCCACACTGTAGAACCTGACTTGATACCTAGGATGACCTTTGCTGTTCATTCTGGGAACTTAAGCCACTTGTGACTTCTTTGGTTTGGGAACATGCAAGATGGTTAACCAGTGGTTTATTTGGAACTGGTCATCAACAGTGTGGTGAAAGTGTGTATTTAGCTAGGGGACCAGGGAAAAGAGGTGGCAAGAGGCTTCCAAATGAAGGTATTCTTGTTGACAAGGCTATTATAATAATGATAAAAACATTCACTGGCGGTAAAGCCAGTGTTTCAAAATAGGTCTGGCTGACCTGACATTCCAAAGGTAAAACATATGTGCTGTTTAGGATGAGGACATAAACATTTGACCACTAGGAGCAGTGTGTTCAGATTGTTTTGTTGTTGAGAGAAGTATAGTCTGTGAGAGGGAGGGGCTTCTTCCTCCAGGAAGAGCCCACTTGTTTCTGAAAAGCTAAAAATACTTTTCATGGTGGGTAAATGGGAAAGTGGTAAAAACGTGAGGAGGGGGGTAGGTAGTGATTCCCGCTCCCTGTATTACCTGTGCAGAGCTCTCCAAAAGCAGGAGAGCCCAAAGGAGTACCCTGTGGCCACTGTAAACCATGCCTACTGTCAGACTCTTCAAGTCTTTAGACTCACACTTCCTTCCAGCAGGCTCGGGATAGCTAACTGGCCTTGTACAGGGAAAGTCCCTGTGAAACCAGAACATGAATGGTCCTTCTTAGACTCCTGCCTTGTTTGTATTTCAAACCTAAGGGAATGGGTGGGACCACGTCTGTCTTCCCCTTTCTGTCTGTCATTTATTTTTGGGTGTGTGTCTATTTAAATACATGCTCACAACCGTGTGCATCTGTGCACTTCTTCTCAAGCAGCTTGAAGCCTTACAACCATTTTCTTCCTTATGGGGCGGTCTCTGTGTATAGTTAACAAGACTGAGTTGTGGGTTTAGGGTTCAGCGATGTTGTAAATCTGGGTAGATCTGTAATCATTGTTTTACAATTGTGGCCGATTTCGCATTTGTGTAAATGCCCCTTCTCCCTTCCCTTTTCTTGGTTCTTGGGTCCTCACTATCCCCTCAAACCGTAACTAGTGATTAAAAACCCAAACTTATCCTTACTAAAGGACATCAGGTGTTTCTTTGTGGCTCCACTGTCCCTCATCTCCTTCAAGCTCAGGCCATAGACTTATGGGGAAGACCAGCTTGTGCGGGCCTGCTTGCTGTATGGTAGCTGCGCTGTAGCATGGCTGGCCAAAGGGCCCTTGATTCTGAGTGTTGTGATTGGTCTAGACGGCAGATATTACTGTTAGTTGACTATTAATAATCGTAGTATTCAGATTGTGTGTAATAGTCTACAAAGTGCCCCTCTGTCCCTCTTGTTTGTGCTATAAGGCCGGTCTTTGTGTGAGGCTTCTCTGTGGGTTGCTGTGAGGCTGCTCATCTACTGTTGAGAGCGCTGTTCAGTGGGATCAGTTAGCTTTGGAAGGACCTTACCGAGGCATTTCTCAGGAACAATGGTCAGTGCCTGTCTTAGGGCATGCTTGCCTCCCTGGGTGAACTCAGAAGCAGAGCTGAGTATCTAATCCTGTTGGATTCAGCCAGTGTTGTGGAGAAACTGCCCGTTAATGAAGGCTTCCAGCTCTCGGGTTGTGACACAGAACTGAAATGAAAGCCGCACTCTGCTCTAAACCACAGTCTGAACCGAGTGGCATCTGGTGAGGCTGCAAGAGGGTAGTGACGCCTACTTTAGCACTTTGGCTAAATGAAGTGCTTTCAACTCCCGGCCCTCCAAATAGAAAGATGGCTGATAAGAGGAATTGCAGGAGACTCGGGCATAGAGAACACCTACATACCGACGCATTGGGCAGGGCATCCTTCATGAAATCTTAGGCTTTTGCTCTATTTGTATGCCAGAGTAATCAAATAACAGTTAACATCCATAGGCTGTCTGAGAGAGCCCCTTTCTATGAGACACCAGAGAGGTTTCTGCCCTGTGGAAAAGGCCATGGCATTCTGCGTATGAGCTGCTTCCCTGAGACATTTAATGTGACTTTAAAAGATAGTAATCCTGGAAAGGGACTGATGTGGTACTGGCTGGGCAGGCTGGGCTGGGCACTCCTCGGGCCCTGCTTTGCCTTTCTTTGAACAGATGAGCAGAGAGAGGGAAGTGAGCTAGGAGCTCTCTGTCTTAAGCTTTACAGACCGTAGATTGTCCACAGCAGTGGGTTGTACTAGAAGTACTTGTTTGCTCAAGGCTTATTTAAAAAAAAAAAAAGCCACCATGCCTTTCCCATGTATTTAACTTTGATTTGGATAGCTGCTTATGTTTGAATTTTATTTTCTTAACCAGTTCTCACTATCATGAAGAAGAGGGTATGGTAGAAGCACACTAGTACGTGGTTTTATAAGGCATGTTTACTTCAGGATTTAGCCAGCATTATACAATTGAGAATTGATTTGGGAGTATTTCTGCAAACGCATCTTGCTTGGTCTGGAGTAGTAGCCATCCCATCTTCTGAGATCAGCCTCCAGTTGCCAGAAAAGTCGCTGGATATGGAATATAAAAATATATATATTCCTGGGAATCTTTTTAGATCTTCAGTGTATTTATTTTTCTCTTGAATTTTTCTTATTAGCCCCTCTTTTCATGGCATTTTTTTTTTTTTTTTTGCCAGTAGAAATTTCTCCAGGAATGATTACACAACCACAGCAGCTGTGTATAAGCTGGTTTGGGAAATGAATGAACTTGCGTGATCTTGTGGTCAGTGAAGAATGCCTTAAGCAACTCACAGAGTGGAGGCTTTCTGCCCTGCTGTGGGCTGTAGCTCCTCTCCCTTCCTCTCTGCTTCTGCCGCCCTGGAATATGAACTCCAAGTGCTAAACTGTGCCTGAGAGGGTAAACAGTATGGTTTTCTGTCTGCAAGAATGATAGTGAGCTTTGTTGGGCATTGTTTTCCTCTCCTTGAAGGCATCGTCTGACTTCGTTCTCTATCTGAGAGGGCATAAAGGAATCGCTTGGTATTTGGGGAAAATGCTTAAAAAGTAATTGAGTGCCAAGGTCAGGGGAAGCCAATGTGCTCTTAATCTAATGGAATCTTTTTTTCTTATGATCACACTATTTTGCCGAATTGTGCCTTTAGAAATCATTTCATTGGCTGGAATTGAGAGAAAGAAATTCCACCTGACAGGGTTCTGTTTGCTTTTTCATTAATCCACTAAGTCTGACATATTAAACCAGGAATCTCATGACAGGTAACATTCCGCGCTTCTACATTCTTGGCTTCGGAATTCTCCAGGTTCAAATACTATTGTGTCCACATGACATATCAGAGGGATAGAACCTGATTTCAGGTCTCTATGCTGGGAACTATAAACAAGGCTGTGGTAGCATCTCTGAGGTGATAGCTAGACCAACCTCCTTTCCCCTTCTGGGGCTCCTGTATCCCTGGGCCCTCTCTCCCTTCATTCCTTTCCAGGTCTGATTAGCAATCTGTCCTCCATAAGAGGGTTTTTACAGTTGTTTTTTCCCAACCCCTCCTCCCTGCCCTCTTCCTACCTCCTCCTTTACCTCCAGGTAAACTCGGGGGCCAGGACTCTTTTGAAAGCATAGAGAGCTACGATAGTTGTGACCGCCTCACCCAGTCCTGGAGCAGCCAGTCATCTTTCAACAGCCTGCAGCGTGTCCCCTCCTATGACAGCTTCGACTCTGAGGACTATCCCGCTGCCCTGCCCAACCACAAGCCCAAGGGCACCTTCAAGGACTATGTGCGTGACCGTGCTGACCTCAACAAGGACAAGCCTGTCATTCCTGCTGCTGCCCTGGCTGGCTACACAGGTAGGCACCCAGCCCCTGTCTAGGTGGCTATTTGCATGCTTCTGTGGGTCAGGTCAAAAGTGAGGCACAGAGACCCAAGGGCACCCTCTTTTTATTCTGTACAGAGTAGCTGTCTCTCAAGGGTCTTCTGTCTCAAGCCAGGCTGCTTGGGAAAACTGCTAATTTTTTGGAAGCCTACCTCAAGGGTTCATTTTTAAGAGTGGTAGAAAATTTAACTTGAACTTCTTCCATATCTGGGGAAGATGTGTAATGACTGGGAGTTTCTGGAAACTGCCTCATGGCTGGTATTGAGGGACTTTTGTTCTGGGAAGACCATTCCAAATATGAAACTAGAAGCTGGCATTTTTTAAACATTCGAGTTTAGAGGTCTGCATGCTGGAGAGTTTCACAGTGTGTTTATCATTGCAGTTTGCCTTCTGAATTTAGGAACAGTGTTCAAAACCATGTCCAGATCCCTAGGTCTGTACTGGATTTCCATAGTAGAACACATAAAACAACAACAACAGCAACAACTTAGCATTATGGTTGCTTTTCTTCCAGGAATGAAATCTATAGTTAAAATAGTGGTGATTTCAGAAAGATCCCGAAGAGAATGGACTTTGAGAGAATCTGGAAGTAGGGCAAGGTAGTTCACCATTCAGATGGACAGCGGTATATGTGTTACTTAACCCAGGAGCCTTGGAGTAGTTTGTCGGAGAGAAATCCAAGGAGTAGTAAATAATAAATGTACTGAGCATCAGGGCCTTTCTGTAAGACTGCGGCGCTTTCAAGGCTTTGTTAGAGGGGAGCCTTGGCTAAGCATGGCCGTTCAGGTGTGCTTTCACCGCTGTCTGCTTACACTGTCCTGCACCAGGACAAGTGTGGGCCCAGTGTGACTGGAAACAAGCAGCAGGCGTGGTATTGCTGTTGACATCCCTGTCCAAATCTACACGTGACCTAGGGTAGTCTTGGGCCTTTTTCTGAAATTTAACTGATCTTCAAGAACAAAATTCATAAATTTACAAAAACTACTCCTCCTTCAAAGATCGAGAATATATTCTCTATATTGTCTTCCACGAAGACCCTGCATCAATAGTGTTCAAGAAATCTATTTATGATTGGGAGAGGTGCAAGGGCCATATGTTGAATCAGAAGCCACAGATACACTTAAAAATTTGTGTTCTTTTCTTTTTTGAAATGTCATCTTTTCTTGTTTGGAGGTGTGGGTAGGTGAGAGACTTGCTACATTTCAAGAGCATCTTTTTCTAACTCCAGAGAGCAGATTTTGGGTGCATTTACTCATTTTCATCAAAGGTATTTGAGATTAGAAAAAGTACAAGTCTTTCAAGGTACAAGAATGGCAGATCCTGGAACTGGAACTAGACTGTCTCCAGCTGGATGTAGTGATGAGTGGGGAGGGAAGAAGGGCTGCTTCTAAGGGAAGAGAAAGACAAGGCCAGGGTAGTGCTCAAATGATTGACAGTATTCTTGTTTGGATATTGTTCAGTAGACTTTTTCCTTTTCTCTCTCCCTTCCTTCCTCCTTCTCCACATGGGATGAGGGATTGAAACAGTCAATAAGTAGAAGAACTTAGCTTTCTCAAAGACTAAACTCTTTAAATTAAAACAGAATATATTTTTAAAGCATCTCCACATTTAGTTTCTGTTTCTCTACAATTGTGGATTTGACTTTTTCAGACTCAAATGGCGGTGAGAACAATAGCCCAGAAAACAGAAGTCCTCTGTGCCCCCTCCCAGCGCTAACACACTGTGTGATTTTAGGCAAATTTACCTTGTACCTTTTTCTACTTTTGTGAGTAGAACTGTTCACCCTTATCTTGACAGTAGCAGACGTGTGAAAATGCAGTTGAACCAAATCGATTAATTAAGTGGGTGCTAGACATTGTGCTAGAGACGGTGAGGAGAAAACTCTACTTCTAACAAGTTGATGATTTCAGCAAATGGGCACCCACTGGGTGTAGAGAAGACCCCCTCATGGGTGTTCTGTCTTGTTCAATCTACTCTAAATGTCTTTAGACTTGAACTAGAGTCTCTGGTTGCTGTGGTCCAAATAAAGCTTGAAATTTGTTAGGTATGCGTGAGCAGACCAAATTTTAGTGTCTTTTCCCATGGGGCCTGCCTTTGGGGAACGCTTCCTGCCTCCACCGCAGGTTCTCTGATCCTGTGGCTTGATGGCCCCTTCTCATTTCAGAAACAGGAATGGAACATGCCCCTGCCTTGTCTCTTACCTGAGGTGATGGCTATAGTTTCTACATATGGGTAACTGGCTTTATGCCGGAATGGTAGAATGAACTGACATTTGAAAAGTCTTTGAAAAGTGGAAATCACTGTGTAACTGTGAGCAATACTTTTATCATGTTTATATATATAAAGTCACACTCATTTTCTCCCTCTGGTTCTTTCCCTTTCCTGTCCTAAAATTCAGTTGCTGCTGCTTGTATGTGACCCACACTAGGGACGCTCAGACCTCTGCACCGTGACTGCATGGCCTGCGCTACATGTATGTGCTTAGGTGCACCTAGCTGAGAAGAGGATGTAGATTCTGCCCTAATCTAGGGGCTGAGGTTCCTGCCCGCATCATCTCCACAGGAATACATTCTCCTTCTTCCTGTGATATCTTAGCCTCTGCACTGTAAGTGTGGAAATCAGTTAGAAGCTGATTTTCACATTCTCTTGCTCAGTTACATTCTTCCTTCAAAGATAAGAAAATTGCATCAGCCTTCATTGGGCTCCCATGGCAACTTGTTAAATTAGGTCGAGATGTGGGGGCAGATAACATGGCTTGAAAGCCTGCCTGTTAGCTGAGTGAAGACTACATCAAATGCAGCGTTGGCTTCCGCCAGAATGTACCTCCTTTCTTTGCTGCTTACGGTTATCAAACTGATACAATCAGAAAGCTCCATTTTCTCTCGTTCATAGCTACATTTTGAACCCTTTCTTATTATAACAGTCAGAGAGCAACTAGCCCACTGTTTTCTGTGCCTTATAGACCTCAGAAAATTGCTGAGCTCTCACTCTGGGCTTGCACGCTGGGAAAATCAATTCGTTATGATTTTGGGCCCTTTCCTCCTATGTCTAGCACAATTCTAACATTCATTCATGTAATTAATAGGTTTGGGTATAGGCATCTTGATTTTAGTTTCAATGTAGGGCTAAGACAATATACAGGATTATTAAATAGTAGTCTTCTTTCCTTTCTGTGCTGCATGTCTTGCTTGAATGCACCATTTGTTCTTCATGTTAAGGAATGGGAACACTCTGTGGGTGTCTCTATGTCCTTCACGCAGGGATTCAGACCCAGGTGGCTTCTCATCACTAATTAACCCTTCTTCATACATGTGGTTGAGGGTATGGGGAGGGGTAGACCTGGTTTTGGCTTCAGTAGAGTTCCTGGCCTGTGAGTCACCATTATCGAACTTCATTTCATATTCCTAGTCACGGGCACAGATAAGGGCCCATTCCTCTCCCTGCTGCAGGTGATATTCAGCTGATCTGCTGGCAACCCATGTCTAGGTATGACATTGCCCACTAAGGTGTGATCGTGAAGGAAGGAAGTCTTTCAGGAAGAGCCTGGAAAAGCCTATGCCCAAAGCCATTCATTAATGATCATAAAAGAATGTTTCATATTCTCTCTCTCTCCCTCTCCCTCTCCCTCTCCCTCTCTCTCTCTCTCTCTCTCTCTCTCTCTCTCTCTCTCTCTCTCTCTCTCACACACACACACACACACACACACACACACACCAAAAGGAATCAACCTTAGAGGAAAAGCAGCCCCATGTGTCTCCTTGTAGGTCCCCTTAAATTGCCTTTGGTGTGAATGAATTCTATTCTGCTCATTTCATAGACGACAGGAGGGTCAGTCTAAATTCACAGAGTAAGAAAATCCCCAGTCTAGCCCAGAACCCCTGAGGTCTGATAGTCATTGAGTTTCAGGGTGCAGTAACTCAAAACTACTGATAAAATACATTTGAAAAACAACTTGACTACATAAGTAAGGCTGGCCAAGCCACTCCGTTCAGGACATAGCCTGTGATTTTGGCATAATACCTGCACTCACAGTCTGCTGAAGAAAACCGAGTTATGAAGTCATCTGCATTTACTAGGGCACAAAATGATAACAGTGTTGGGAAACTTAGTGAGTCCAAGTCAGCAATAAGGGAAAGGGAGACGGGTTGCTGAGTTCATAATGTAGCACACATCTGTGTAGATTTCAGGTATTCATTCCAAACACGGGTTAGGGAAGGTGCTAGGGTCTCGGAGACATAGGTCTCTCCATGCAAGCACTGCTGGGATAAGACATTGAGAGGTGGATAGCATTGAGATAGGCCAACTTGTCATAGTGGGAAGAGGTCCTGGTTGCCCACTGTAAGCATTGGCCACATTTCCAGAAGCCAGAGACGCTGGGGAGTGACTTCTCTGAGCTCCAAGTCTGTCAAGGCTGCAGGTAGCTCAAGGGCTTGCCAAAGCCAGCACCGTCGGAATGTGGAGTGTTTCTGGGCAGTGTCCACATGGGGAAAGAGGCTAGGAACAAGAAGGACAGAGACTGTTTCCCTTTTGATCTCTGTTCGCAGGAAAGCGAAAGGAATCACAGCCCCAAGACCTGATGGCAGGTCCCAGGGGCTCATGTTGGGCGGGTTTTAGTCTCAGTAGAGGCCCGGGTTAGTTAGCCTGCTGTTAAGTTATAGGTCAGTGGAGAATTACTTTGAAGTACCAGGGAGGAAAATTCCCAGGAAAAAAACTGAACTGGGTGTTAGGAAAGCAGGTCTCTGCAGCTGCCTCACGGCTTCTGCTTCTTAACTGCTTAGTGCGGTGACCGTTAATCATTTTCCACCAATAGAATTCCTATGGTTGGAGGGTTTGGCCACATGGTTGTTAACTTTTGTTTCTGAATGTCTTCAGAGTTTATGGGAAGAGGGATTCCTTACTGTTGCTTGTAGTTTTGAAAGCTGGGGTTGGCTGAGTTTCCTCAAAGCATTGGGCCAGTGGCTTTGGAGTCTGTCT